TTTTCGTCCTTCGACTGGTACTTTTTGAGTTTTCTATAAAATTTAACCTAGAAACATGAAATTAAGCATGTAGAGCCCTTAGTAAATGAGAATCTATAAAAGGGGACTTTTTGGTACTTTTTCGTCCTTCGACTGGTACTTTTTGAGTTTTCTATAAAATTTAACCTAGAAACATGAAATTAAGCATGTAGAGCCCTTAGTAAATGAGAATCTATAAAAGGGGACTTTTTGGCACTTTTTCGTCTTTCGACTGATATTTTTTGAGTTTTCTATAAAATTTAACCTAGAAACATGAAATTAAGCATGTAGAGCCCGGAGTAAATGAGAATCTATAAAAGGGGACTTTTTGGAACTTTTTCGTCTTTCGACTGGTACTTTTTGAGTTTTATATAAAATTTAACCTAGAAACATGAATTTAAGCATGTAGAGCCCAGAGTAAATGAGAATCTATAATAGGGGACTTTTTGGTACTTTTTCGTCCTTCGACTGGTACTTTTTGAGTTTTCTATAAAATTTAACCTAGAAACATGAAATTAAGCATGTAGAGCCCAGAGTAAATGAGAATCTATAATAGGGGACTTTTTGGTACTTTTTCGTCCTTCAAAAGGTACTTTTTGAATTTTCTATAATATTGATCCTAGAAGCATGAAATTAAGCATATAGAGCCTGGAGTAAATGAGAATCTATAAGAGGGGACTTTTTGGTACTTTTTCGTTCTTCAAAAGGTACTTTTTGAATTTTCTATAATATTGAACCTAGAAACATGAAATATAAAAGGGGACTTTTCGGCACTTTTTCGTTCTTCAAAAAGTACTTTTTGAATTTTCTATTATATTGAACCTAGAAACATGAAATTAAGTACGTAGAGCCCGGAGTAAGTGAGAACATATAAAAGAGGACTTTTTGGTAATTTTTCGTTCTTCAAAAGGTACTTTTTGTATTTTTTATAACATGAAATTAACCATGTGGAGCCCGGAGTTAATGAGAATCTATAAAAGGGGACCCTTTGGTAATTTTTCGTTCTTCAACTGGTACTTTTTTAATTTTCTATAATATTGAACTTAGGAACATGAAATTAAATAAAAGAGGTCTTTTGTTACTTTTTCGTACTTCATTGGTACTTTTTGAGTTTTCTAAAATATTGAATATATAAACATAAATTTAAATAGGGGACTTTTTGATATTGCAGATATATATACATTTACAATAATATTTATTTTATTCCATTACGATGAGGGTAGCGAAGCACACTGGGTATAGCTAGTATATAATAAAATGAAATCCGTGATGTTTAAGGACAAAATTGTATACATTTTTGAAGAGCCTTTTTTTGCAATATTAATAAAATATGAGTTCAAAAAAATACATATAGACAGATGAATAGACAGAGATTTGTAAGGGCTATAAAACGTTATTGATCATTTGGGTTTTTAAAGGCTTATATGCTAATTTGTTAAAGTCTAACCTAGGCTTTAGCTAACAGAATAATAAAGCGATAAAAAACAATTTCAATGTTTAAATCAAGTTTCTGTTGTCTTAAAAAACAAACCAAATTAATTAAATTAAATATGCACAATTAATGTTGGGAGAAAACTCATTGTATGCTCCCTAGCCATCAGCAAATTTGCCCATGGCTAAGTAAGTAACAATTACTCTTACATTTAACAAACTTTGTTCAAAAAAAAATATACATTTAAACTTTTCTTGCAAAATAATTATCATACAGATGTGTAACAAAAATAACCGAAAAACAAACTTTTCATACCAAAGTTAGTGGACTATTAATATTACACGTCCTTGAACTTTGCCAATATAACACAAGAGTGTTATTAATAAAAACATAAACAAAATAATAAAAATAAAAAAACAACAGTAGCAACTAACTATAATTGAACCACACCACACAGTTTGAAAGTTTAGAATTTGTTTTGTTTACAGCTGTGTTTTTCTTTGAAATTTATTAGGCATTAAACTATAAAATAGGGAAGTATGCTAAGAGTAAGAAGTCGACGGAGGAGTATTTTTTATTTAATTTTTTTATGTTTTCTCTTTAAATTAACTATAAAAAAGTAGTTTCGTTTTGCTACGCATATTGGCCGAATATATTCGCTGCATACTTTTTGGCTTAACTCATAATGTATGATGCCGGATAAGTAATATTTATTCAGACGGTTTTCATTAACGAACTAACTAACTAACTAACTAACTAACTACTACTAACTAACTACTAACTAACTAACTAACTAACTAACTAACTACTAACTAACTAACTAACTAACTAACTAAACTAACTAACTAACTAACTAACGTACAACTAACTACTACTAACTAACTAACTACTAACTAACTAACTAACTAACTACTAATAACTAACTACTAACTACTAACTAACTAACTAACTACTAACTAACTAACTAACTAACTAACTAACTAACTAACTAACTAACTAACTAACTAACTAACTAACTAACTAACTACTAACTAACTAACTAACTAACTACTAACTAACTAACTAACTAACTAACTAACTAACTAACTACTAACTAACTAACTAACTAACTAACTAACTAACTAACTAACTAACTAACTAACTAACTAACTAACTAACTAACTAAACTAACTACTAACTAACTAACTACTAACTACTACTAACTAACTAACTAACTACTAACTAACTAACTAACTACTAACTAACTAACTAACTAACAACTAACTAACTAACTAACTAACTAACTAACTAACTAACTAACTAACTAACTAACTAACTAACTAACTAACTAACTAACTAACTAACTAACTAACTAACACTAACTAACTACTAACTAACTAACTAACTAACTAACTAACTAACTAACTAACTAACTAACTACTAACTAACTAACTAATACTAACTAACTAACTAACTACTACTAACTAACTAACTAACTAACTAACTAACTAACTAACTAACTAACTAACTACTAACTAACTAACTAACTAACTAACTAACTACTAACTAACTAACTAACTAACTACTAACTAACTAACTAACTACCTAACTAACTAACTAACTAACTAACTACTACTAACTAACTAACTAACTAACTAACTAACTAACTAACTAACTAACTAACTAACTAACTAACTAACTAACTAACTAACTAACTAACTAACTAACTACTAACTAACTAACTAACTAACTAACTAACTAACTAACTAACTAACTAACTAACTAACTAACTAACTAACTAACTAACTAACTAAACTAACTAACTAACTAACTACTAACTACTAACTAACTAACTAACTAACTAACTACTAACTAACTAACTAACTAACGAACTAACTAACTAACTAACTAACTAACTAACTAACTACTAACTAACTAACTAACTACTACTAACTACACTAACTAACTACTAACTAACTAACTAACTAACTAACTAAACTAACTAACTAACTACTAACTAACTAACTAACTAACTAACTAACTCACTAACTAACTAACTAACTAACTAACTAACTAACTAACTAACTAACTAGACTAATAGACTAGACTATAGACTAGACTATAGACTAGACTATAGACTAGAACTATAGACTAGACTATAGACTAGACTATAGACTAGACTATAGACTATAGACTATAGACTAGACTATAGACTAGACTATAGACTAGACTATAGGACTAGACTATAGGACTAGACTATAGACTAGACTATAGACTAGACTATAGACTAGACTATAGACTAGACTATAGACTAGACTATAGGACTAGACTATAGACTACACTATAGACTTATAGGACTAGACTATAGACTAGACTATAGACTAGACTATAGACTAGGCTATAGACTAGACTATAGACTAGACTATAGACTAGACTATAGACTAGACTATAGACTAGACTATAGACTAGACTATAGACTAGACTATAGACTAGACTATAGACTAGACTATAGACTAGACTATAGACTAGACTATAGACTAGACTATAGACTAGACTATAGACTAGACTATAGACTAGACTATAGACTAGACTATAGACTTGACTATAGACTAGACTATAGACTAGACTATAGACTAGACTATAGACTAGACTATAGACTAGACTATAGACTAGACTATAGACTAGACTATAGACTAGACTATAGACTAGACTATGTTTTCGAAGTTAGAAATGTTTCTTTTTTCTGAAAATATCTTCTTGATGTAGGAATTCCTTCATTTGTTAGACTTCTATTGAAAAGCTTATTTATACATTTTCTAAAAAAAAGTCTACTATATACTCCTTAATATTAAACAAAAAAATTGTTGCGTATACTTAATATTTATTCAATTAGGTCGAATTATACACCGTTGCACCAGTTTTGAATTACAAACTAATAAGAAAAAGACAAGATAGACAAAGTAGACCTACATCTCTCCAAATAGCGTACTAGTTAAACAATTGCTTTAAATATAGTATTTTAATAATTTGTATAAAAAGTCCCATTAATATTTGCAGTTGTTAAACATTTTTGTTCTTCTGACGACACAACCTAACCGAATATTTCAAACGTGTTAAAAGGTATAATAATAATAAGTTATATAAAAAAAGAAAAAACTGTCCAAAAATGTAGTAGTTACAATTAAAAACACATTAATATTATGTCAAAAAATTCTGACACATTTGTCCTAAAATCATATAGTAAAAACAAAAACTTAAGTATAGCGTGCACAATATTCATTAAAGTTTATTTATAACTTATTGCTGTTATTTATTCTTATTAAATTTTACAAATGACTTCAAATTTAAATGTAACATTTATTCATAAATTCTCATTAAATGTCAATGTATTTAAATATGTGTGTGTGAAAAGGAAAAAAACAAATATTCCTATAAAAACAATAAGAAAAACAAACACGTACATTAAATAAATTTATTTATCATTTATTTTATTACCGTAGACATACAATCGACTTGGACCACAAAACCAATTTTAATAAAAATTTTCTATTTTATATACAACTATTTACAGATTTTCATGTAGCAAATTTTTGGCTAAAAGCATTTTATGGAAATTTTATTGCAAATAATAATTGTATAAAAATGTAAGTAACTGCTAGTTTTATATCCATATGATATGAAATGTTTGTAATTGTGTTTGTTGTTGTTGTTTTAATAAAGAGTTTGTTATTTATTCATATGGATTTATTCTCATTCATATACATACATACGTACAAATAAACACTTACTCACTCATGCATATGCATTTGTTTGAGTGTATGTGTTTGTTCTAGAGGACAGAATCTTGTTTATATTGCTTATATTTTCATAAATTTATTTAATATTTTTTTTTCAATTTTTTATTTTAATTGGTTGTTGGTCATTCGAAGTGTAGGTGTGAGTATTTATTTTTTCAAAGAGAATTTATGAAATCTTGTTTTCAGAATTAAATTATAAGATATTGATTGAATTTTTATAAAATTTAAAAAAAAAATGAGAAAAAATTTTCTTGAAATACAGAAACACTTTGCGATAGAACTGAACTCAATTCAAGTTTAGTTCAGTTCTAGTTCAGTTCTAGTTCAGTTCTAGTTCAGTTCGTTCAGTTCTAGTTCAGTTCTAGTTCAGTTCTAGTTCAGTTCTAGTTCAGTTCTAGTTCAGTTCTAGTTCAGTTCTAGTTCAGTTCTAGTTCAGTTCTAGTTAGTTCTAGTTCTAGTTCAGTTCTAGTTCAGTCTAGTTTCTAGTTCAGTTCTAGTTCAGTTCTAGTTCAGTTCTAGTTCAGTTCTAGTTCAGTTCTAGTTCAGTTCTAGTTCAGTTCTAGTTTAGTTCTAGTTCAGTTCTAGTTCAGTTCTAGTTAGTTCTAGTTCAGTTCTAGTTCAGTTCTAGTTCAGTTCTAGTTCAGTTCTAGTTCAGTTCTAGTTCAGTTCTAGTTCAGTTCTAGTTCAGTTCTAGTTCAGTTCTAGTTCAGTTCTAGTTCAGTTCTAGTTCAGATCTAGTTCAGTTCTAGTTCAGTTCTAGTTCAGTTCTAGTTCAGTTCTAGTTCAGTTCTAGTTCAGTTCTAGTTCATTCTAGTTCAGTTCTAGTTCAGTTCTAGTTCAGTTCTAGTTCAGTTCTAGTTCAGTTCTAGTTCAGTTCTAGTTCAGTTCTAGTTCAGTTCTAGTTCAGTTCTAGTTCAGTTCTAGTTCAGTTCTAGTTGTTTTCAGTTCTAGTTCAGTTCTAGTTCAGTTCTAGTTCAGTTCTAGTTCAGTTCTAGTTCAGTTCTAGTTCAGTTCTAGTTCAGTTCTAGTTCAGTTCTAGTTCAGTTCTAGTTCAGTTCTAGTTCAGTTCTAGTTCAGTTCTAGTTCAGTTCTAGTTCAGTTCTAGTTCAGTTCTAGTTCAGTTCTAGTTCAGTTCTAGTTCAGTTCTAGTTCAGTTCTAGTTCAGTTCTAGTTCAGTTCTAGTTCAGTTCTAGTTTCAGTTCTAGTTCAGTTCTAGTTCAGTTCTAGTTCAGTTCTAGTTCAGTTCTAGTTCAGTTCTAGTTCAGATCTAGTTCAGTTCTAGTTCAGTTCTAGTTCAGTTCTAGTTCAGTTCTAGTTCAGTTCTAGTTCAGTTCTAGTTCAGTTCTAGTTCAGTTCTAGTTCAGTTCTAGTTCAGTTCTAGTTCAGTTCTAGTTCAGTTCTAGTTCAGTTCTAGTTCAGTTCTAGTTTAGTTCTAGTTCAGTTCTAGTTTAGTTCTAGTTCATTCTAGTTCAGTTCTAGTTCAGTTCTAGTTCAGTTCTAGTTCAGTTCTAGTTCAGTTCTAGTTCAGTTCTAGTTCAGATCTAGTTCAGTTCTAGTTCAGTTCTAGTTCAGTTCTAGTTCAGTTCGTTCAGTTCTAGTTCATTCTAGTTCAGTTCTAGTTCAGTTTCTAGTTCAGTTCTAGTTCAGTTCTAGTTCAGTTCTAGTTCAGTTCTAGTTCAGTTCTAGTTCAGTTTAGTTCTTCTAGTTCAGTTCTAGTTCAGTTCTAGTTCAGTTCTAGTTCAGTTCTAGTTCAGTTCTAGTTCAGTTCTAGTTCAGTTCTAGTTCAGTTCTAGTTCAGTTCTAGTTCAGTTCTAGTTCAGTTCTAGTTCAGTTCTAGTTCAGTTCTAGTTCAGTTCTAGTTCAGTTCTAGTTCAGTTTCTAGTTCAGTTCTAGTTCAGTTCTAGTTCAGTTCTAGTTCAGTTCTAGTTCAGTTCTAGTTCAGTTCTAGTTCAGTTCTAGTTCAGTTCTAGTTCAGTTCTAGTTCAGTTCTAGTTCAGTTCTAGTTCAGTTCTAGTTCAGTTCTAGTTCAGTTCTAGTTCAGTTCTAGTTCAGTTCTAGTTCAGTTCTAGTTCAGTTCTAGTTCAGTTCTAGTTCAGTTCTAGTTCAGTTCTAGTTCAGTTCTAGTTCAGTTCTAGTTCAGTTCTAGTTCAGTTCTAGTTCAGTTCTAGTTCAGTTCTAGTTCAGTTCTAGTTCAGTTCTAGTTCAGTTCTAGTTCAGTTCTAGTTCAGTTCTAGTTCAGTTCTAGTTCAGTTCTAGTTCAGTTCTAGTTCAGTTCTAGTTCAGTTCTAGTTCAGTTCTAGTTCAGTTATAGTCCAGTTCTAGTTCAGTTCTAGTTCAGTTCTAGTTCAGTTCTAGTTCAGTTCTAGTTCAGTTCCAGTTCAGTTCTAGTTCAGTTCTAGATCAGTTCTAGTTCAGTTCTAGTTTCACCCTTCAAAATTGTTCATCCAAGAAAACCCTACAACTGTTTGTTTAGTTATTGCAACTAATATTTATGATGTGTGATTACAGCCTGTAGAGTCTCAACAAATTTAGTAACACACATGTGTTAGTAATTCAAATTGTGTGCCTGTGTCTACTTAAACATCCGTTTCCCGTTGTGAAAATAAAACAATAAATAGCTAAATGTGTTGTTGTTTCTATATATTGTCAATTTAGAGCATGTGTTTCTCTTTATTCTTTTCAAGCTGAAATATATGTTTATTTAATAAAATAAATAAATATTAGTTTAAATGGATTGTTCACAGTTGGTGAGACTACTTCAGTTAAATTTATACCTTAATTTATGAACTTTTTTCTATAGAAAGAGATTCTTTATTGGGAAAACTTTTTCCGTATAATAACTCATTTCGTTAATGATGCCATTTCTGCATAAATATCTCCGGTTTCCTTCTGTAGAAAAAGTTTATATTTTAAGAACAATTTTTTGTATTTTCTCTAATGTACGGAAACTTTTTCTGTAATAATATAGAAAAATTTTCTATAGCAAAAGTCTCTTTTTTTAAAGTCTTACTTTTTGATAGAAAAATATTTCCCTTTAAGAATGTTTTTTATAGATATTTGTTTTCTATATTTTTTTAAAGAAAATTGTATTAGTTAATGAAACGTTGCTACAGAAGAAGAAATTCCTCAAAAAAGCAACATTATACTTAATAATTATTTTAAAACAATTACTTTGTAATATTGTTAATGTGAGACTTTTCCCCCTAACTAATAGTGGGACTACTTTAAATAAGAAACCGACCGCAAAATATAAAGTTTAATTACAAAAACCAAAGAGTTAAACAAATACTCTTTTTCTCTAGAATCTATTAATTGTTCTTGATTTATAAACTTATTCACTGCGAACATTTTATATTTTTCTTGATTACTTTTAGTTTTTAACTACAATTCTTATCATTTACAACTGAAACGGACAATAAACTTGAACATAAAGAAAAAAATCGATATAGAAATAAATTAGTAAAAACTAGTGAGTTGAGAGTTAAAAGAAATGTCACTAAAAACCTTTGAATTAAATACTGTTTCATAAAAAAAACTGACATGAAATGTTTTGCATTGTGAACAATAATTTTAAAATATTTGATTTATATATAGTATTTGGGGTTTTCCAATAATGGTGCTCGGTGAGGTCGAATCGTTTTGTTGATCTTAAAAAAGTATTATGTTGCTTTTACTGTTTATTCTTTTATCTAAAACTATTTATTTATTTTAACTCAATATTCTAAAACAAATTTGTACTGCAATTTCTTCTTAAGAATAAAACGAAATTTGTTTTTAAATTGAATTAGTAGTTAAAAGGAAAACTAAGAAAATACTTAAAGTCAACTTTTTTCCTATTTAACTTTATTTTCTATATTTTTTCTCTAACACGAACTTGCAATTTGTTTTTATTACAAAAAAAAAAAAAAAAGTTCAAAAAATTTTAATAAAAAAAACAGGCAAAAGACACTTAAATTGTAACAGATACTTGTTAAACAACTTATTTTTTTCTAAAATCAGATAACATATATTTTAAATCAAACATTCTTATAATAACAAAGTTGTGAAGTCATTTTAATTCATAAATATATCTATTACACGCATTAAATTGGCCAACTTCTGTATCAAACATAGTCTGTCTATAATAACATGTTAAAGTGAATATGTTTGATAATTGAAAGTCAATGATTTTCAAGTATTATTCAACCGTAATACAACTTTTTATATACATATATGTATGTCTGTATGTAGAAATTTTCTTGAAGAAAAAAAAATGCCTTAGGTCATTGTAAGGAAATTGAAAAATTGAACAACTTTTTTTTTCCTTCTCAAACATAAAAAACGTGCGTGTATTTTATTGTTAGTATAAAATATGTACTATATGTATGTTTTTATATCGTATATAAATAAAATATTTTTCTAGAGAATTTACTTCAAGAAAAACTGCTTACAAATAACATAAATACTATATGAGTACATATTTAAGTAAATATATCAATGAGCTTAACTTACATACATATACATAAGTAAGTATTGTAAGTTTAGAGATAAAAGGTGCTAAGTTCATTATTATAATTTCAAGTCAATCGACTTATAAAAAGGTATATCAAAAATAAAATGAACTAGAACTGAACTAGAACTGGACTAGAACTGAACCAGAACTGAACTAGAGCTGAACTAGAACTGAACTAGAACTGAACTAGAACTGAACTAGAACTGAACTAAAACTAAACTAGAACTGAACTATAACTGAACTAAACTGAACTAGAACTGAACTAGAACTGAACTAGAACTGAACTAGAACTGAACTATAACTGAACTAGAACTGAACTAGAACTGAACTAGAACTGAACTAGAACTGAACTAGA